TAGTAGTAGTGGTAGTAGTAGTACGCTGTACACAGCGGAAATGCTTGGCAGTCATGCAGAAGTCCAGCCGATTGGTGCGAGGTGTCCTCCAGCTCGAGCTGCAGCTGCTGCTTGGCAGACTTCTCCATGGAGGCGAGTCTCGGCAACTTCCCCAGCTCTTCAAGTCTTGAGCAATAGCTACACGACTGGAGGGTTACCTGCACGGCTGCCGCTGACTGGGAGGATGCAGACAGAAGTACTTTCTACTCCCTCTTTCCGTCCTGCTGTTCTATCCGTGGGTCTGGGTGGTGGAGTCTAGACTGCTTCCCATAAATCACATGTCACCCGTACTCTCCTGGATTAATGTTGGTCATCAAGTTCATCACAATCTCGAGCTCATGTTCAGAGTTTGCATCCGCCGCGAGCCTGTTTGAAGACGTATGTAACAGGGCACAGGTACGTGTACCATCATGTAGTAGCCTGTTCATGTCCGCGCTTATCTACACACCTAGCACGATGTAAGCACATAAGTACTGAAGGTGTTAAGCTACAACGCCAGTAACTGAGTTGATTAGTTTGTGTGTCTGCCTGCCCATATTCATGCATGTATGTTTGTCATTCGCGTGCACATGTACACGTACGCCTACTGGCACCGAAGAGCATCGAACCAAAGCACACAGGCCAGCTGGTGCTGGAACGGACAAACATGTTTTCACATGTCCAATGTGCCTCTGCGCCTTTCCGCATTTCCAGTTTACACTACAACTTAAGCTTCAGCGCATTCCAGTGGACGCATGCCAGATCATACAAGCATACATGCGTGTATGCATGTATGCATATACAAGCATATACATATTTATTTACCATACATAGTGACCTGAACTTTGATGTGAACACCTGCAGCTTGCAAACTACATGTGCAACACAGTCACTTCACGTATATAATCTAATCGGCAGCCGCACAAACAAACGAACAACCAAACACGCACACATGCAGAGACACACAGAGACGGGCGCGAAGGCACACACACACACACTCACTCACTTACTCACTCACTCGCACGCACAGACACACACGCACAGAGAGAGAGAGAGAGAGACACACACAAACCAGTATAGGTACACAATCAGACGAACCGACAAGAGCAACTTCTCGGTCTGCGATCAGTCCCATCTTGCCGTCTTGCGCTGCGGACACTACTTCTGCGAGGCGGGCAATGCCGCATGTGTCCTGCTTAGCATTTCCAGGTTTAGATGCAGTGAGAAGTGCCAGTGTGGCCCAAGCCACATCCCAGTATGTTGGATGTACTATTCCCGGCACTGACTTGCATGAGTCTTGCATGCAAATGAAAATGCTTGCAGGAAGCAGCTGCTGCACTATATCACGGCTGTGCTGGTCGAGTTAAACTACTTAAACACGACCATCACAGACACAACATGCGAGATCTTCTCCTTCACCACCATCGCCATCAACAATGACCATCAATGACCACCACCATCAGCATCCGAACGGTCTGAATCATCGTCGTCTACATGACCATCAACGTCCCCTGGCATGGCGGGCCGGGCACGAGCAAAACATAGTTTTCACCATCACATTCATCGTGAGCAGCAGCTTCACCATCCTGCTCATTAGGTTTGTCACGGTCAGTGTTTGTCTCAGCATGACAAAGCACATAGATCTTCAGATGTTTGGTCCCGATGCCCGATGTGCAGACCTGCATCACCGAATGGTCGATCTCTGGTCACGCAAAGTCTCGCTTCTGCCCGGCATGTCGGCAGCATGTGGTGTTGGCGGTCAAGTCGCTTGGGTTTCGGATTCATGGTTCTGAGGCATTGATTCAAGCTTTGTGGTGCGGGTTTCAAGTTCAAGGCCGCATTGCTTTGACATATGCTAGGATTCACTGCAGTATCACGCAACATCCGTCCAGGTATGTCTTGTTTGCTACAACTCACAGATGTATCGTGGGTTCGCGATATTCGAACCTGGAGGAGTTCGAGTATCAGGAACCGCCCAGATCATTTCGTTGATGGCTGCTTCGGGCCCGGGGGATTCCAAACCTGAAGCCAGGTAACCATTGAGACACTGAGGTTTGCCGTGCCGACTTTGGCATCGAGCCAGCTCAGCGGGGCACATCTTTCGACTAGCTGTTCACTCTCTTGACATCGCTTCTGTCTACGAAGCTTTCATCGTTCAATCACCCCATTCTGGTTTCTGCCGTCGTGCTTGTGATGGTAGCTGTAACAGTTCCGGTGAGTTTGCAGATTGTGACATAATGTGGCTTTGCCTGTTGCTGCTGGTTTGCTTGCAAGTTGAGTTATAATTGTTGTGCATGTTGTTGGTTCGAGTAATGTATTTCTACAGTTATGCTACCGCATCAGGGCGCTCTGGAGCTGTGATGCTGCGAAACCTCATGCATAGAAGGCTAATTAACCGGGCAGGTATCCTCAAAACAAACGCCTGGTCTTTTCGCGAGACGCTGAACCCGAAACTCTAGCATCTGCTACCCGATTCACAACTCCAGCGCCGTGGTTTCAGACATCGAAACGCCAATGCGGGGGAGAAAAAATGTGTTGGCTTGGTGCAGCCTCGGATCCTGCTAGCAACTCTTGACCTATCTACTTGTAGTATATCCAGATTATATCAGTTTTCTTGAACTATAGTTATAGATCAAGACCCTCGCGCCGGACACAACCTCGAAAAGCTTTTGACCCAGACTTCTGCTGACCCCCTGACGTCCATGCTTTAGACCCCCCCGCGCCCCCCCCCACCCTTGCGGCTTTGTCGTTATCCGCTTTGACTGGAAGCGTCGCAGACCTCATGTTCCGGTCCAATCCTTCAAATCCTGTTTTCGTCAAGCATCCCCAAGTCGGCAACTGGAAAATACTGAATGGACAGCTGTAAGCCTTGAACCTGAACACCTGCGAAGCCTTTGGAAGGCCGTACTTCTTCGTGCAGGTGAAGAAGGGAGGCCAAAGCCAGCAGTGTTTTTCTCACACTATGTTTCTCACCTTCCTTGCCAGCATAGTCGTCATCTCGTCTTATATTCCATGACCAATATGACCATCAGCAGCACCATCACGATCACAGTTGAGCGTGTTCTTGATAACATCAACGCTGGGACGGGAAGTAGATGTGAAAGTATTTGCTATCGATATCGACGGTTGTTAATACTTGTTGGGCGTAGTGTCAGCAGATCAACGTGAACTCTATCGATGCGTCTCTACCTCTCTTACACGCATGTCCTTGCCCCTTACTAATATCTAATCTTCACTACTTGTCGTGGCACGAGCGAGAGTGCTCTACGGCCAGCAGGAGCGGCGGGCCTGGGAGTAGCCTCAGCAGCAGTGGCAGCGGCAAGGAGTAGGATACGAGGAGGACTAGAGTATTCGAGACACCCTTGGCATGCTGTGGCTGGCCTTCAACCTATGTCCCTTCGATCCATGTCGGCGCTTGTCTTAATCGGGGAGAGGTCGATTGCGGGCTTAGAGGTCCGTGTGAAGCCAAGTGTCCTGCTACTCAGCTGAAGAACACAACTCCTTCCACAGGCGACGAGATTTTCGGAGTATTTACACGTAAGGCCTTGCGGTCTCGGCAGGTATCGACACAATGCGCGACATACTGGCGCAGAGGTTCGAGCAAGAGGTGCGCTTAGTGGTGCTTGTCCGAAGCCCGCCAAGGAGACTTGCGTATCAGCAAGAAAGGCACACCGAACTCTTTGCAAATCCTGTCCCCAGGCGCTCCAGCCCCAACTTGGAATCTCGGCCATCCATTCTTGAACCTGCAACCCAACGAACAGAGAACCAGAAAGAGCGAGCAACGCTGCATGAAGTTCTTGCAGACCTCAGCGTGGCCGCAGAATGCTACTCTGATGACTCTGATGATGACGATGATGATGATAATGTTGAGCAATGCTACCGAGATCGCCGTTTGATTCCGCCGCTTCTTGAGTCTGAGTGTTGTGGTTGTTGTTGTTGTTGGTCCCACAGTCATCATCGGCGTCGTCGGTTGTGTTCTTATATAGTCAGAAATACGACTCAGACAGTTGTCGCCTCTATGGTCGCATGTCCATGGAGAAATTCAGCAGCAGGGAGTCGTCGCCACGATCGTCGAAAAGGATGATCTCGCGCTGGAGGTGCGAATCCAGAGCTTTGTGTTCAGGTTTGGATGTGAGGGATTTCGGGCTCTGGACGGTTGCTCAAAAGTTGCTATGTAGCAGAGTCGAGTCGTTCTTGACTACATGCTTGCAGAGCTTTCAGAATTCAGCTTAGGGTTTTGTTGACCATGAGGATTCAGGGCTTGCTGGTTTGCGGGAACAACAATTGGCCGAGGCTGACGGAGCCTCATTGTAGTGCGGCATGGGTTGGGATGCTGCGTGCGAGGGTCGAACACAAAAAGCTTCAGATGCTCCCCTTGCAAAGAAAGAAAAGCTTTGCAGCGGCCCCCGTTTTTTGATATTTTGGTGTCATAGGATCCACAGGCTGCGCCCCCAATCATTGTGCAGGATCACATCGTCGGCAGAAAGCGCCCGCTCATCAAACTCTCCTTCCAGAGCACGGAAGGTGCCAACAAGGCTCGGCTTGCTCAGCTCGTTTTTTGTTCGGCAGTGGGGTAGACGCTCGTTGGTTTTGGGGTTCGAGATTCTTGACACCATGAACTTGTATGGCTTGTTACAACCTTGTGTTGACGTCTTCGTGGACGCCACGTTCTCGAATGCTACCTGGTTAATCCAACTGATCAGAATCGGGCCGCTCTCTTAACATCGCAAGCGATGCAGCGGCTTTCGTGTCTGTGTCTGCAAGCAAGCAGGCACGCATGGAGCTGTTCAAGGACATGAAGGCAAAGAGGTTGGCCCTCCTTCCGCAGCCCCGCGCTATTCGTGACTCTGTGGATTTGGCAATCGCATGCACAAAGCTCTGCAACAAAATACTGTAAGTGTTTGTTTTCTGCGTTGGGCCTCCTTGAGTCGTCTTATCTGTTCCCAGGTCGCCCTAGGCATGTTCATCTGGTCCTGGGTTTCATAGAATCGGACAAGCTGGAGTTTGATTCCGAAGCAAGAAGCCTATGTAGATTCAGCGCTTTGCTCTTAAATGCATACACGGGCATGTCAGTGTCAAATACCACCGAGGCTAGTTTTAGCCTCGGCTCACGAAACCTTGCCTTTGATCCTTTAAAGCTGATGAGTTAAGCGCATGGTCCCCGATCTAGGTTTTCCAGTTTCTTCCGGCCTCTTCTCTTTGTCAGATACCTACGTCTTGGCCCGTAATTCTGTCATAATAGGTAACGGGCAGCGGTCCCTGCTGGGGATCATGATACAGAGTGCAGAGATATGCATCAGGAGAAATACACCACACAGCTGTTGTTCCTCAATGTGTAGTGAAGGGCTCGTCGCACTTCTGGGCTCGAGAGACGCAGCTCGTGAAAACGCTGCCTCTTGCTTGCTGAGCTTGCCCTGAACTCAGTGCTTCCCTGAGCTGTAGTGCCGGGGTTTCGGAGCAACGCGAACGACTTTTGGGCCAAATATTGGATTTCGGCATGATTCACTTCGGATCTTGTTAAAATTATTCGACTCATTGTGCTTTGCCTGTCGCCGTGCTGTCTACATGCTTTTCCTCACTGACTCACAGGATCGCAAGAGAGGACTCGTGAGGTTCAGCTTGCTCTGTGACTGAAGAGCATTGCGTTTGTATGAGAATTTCCGCAACTGCAAAGGTTCAGCACGCTTAAACTGTTGAGCTCCAGCTGCTGCCCCTCATCACCTCAGGCTCACGATGCCGGGCACAAACTGCCAGAAAGCCATCGTGCCACACTGGCTAGTTTGGCAGATCCCACTTCAGCTTTTGCATTGGGTGCAGAGAACTCAACAGTTAGCACGAATGCCTGATGTCTGTTGGCATGAGGTAACGGACTCGTTGTCTCGGAACAATGCTAGGCTTAGGTGAGTCTACGATGAACGACGTAGATAGTGTATATGCGGTGTAAGTTTTCTAGCGTCAAGCAAAACTTGGCGAAGATCTCGGGCACGGCGAACTAACGACTAACATGGATGATGCTTGGAAACTCTGAGCGCCATGTTCGGCAAACCTAATATACTGCCGTTGATCGAACCCTGGCCGCAGCCTCTTTCTTTAAAACTGGCAGAACCGAGCCGAAATCTCCGCGCTGCACAGATCAAGCAGGGAACTTGAGAAGTAGAGGCGGTCTCTGGAACAACCCCAAGTCGAGAGGGTGAGAGAGGGAGAAAGGGCACCTAGGAAATGTTAACAAGCATTCAGAAAACAGACAGAGAGAGAGGGAGACAGAGAGATATGCCGGCTTATATACATACAGTACGCATGTACATACATACGTACATACTCGTACATACCCAACCATACCGAAGGAACCAGGCCTCACTGGTTAGAACAAGGTTTGGACAGGAATGGACTTGGAAACGGTTTGTAAGTGAATAGCCTAAACATCTTTTGATGCTTACAGCTTCAACCAAGAGACTGGCAGGCTTTGGTCCGAGAAGAATGGCGGTGCCAACCCAGAGGAAGCCGCGTCTCGTCTCGGGATCCTTCTGGAATTGTGAGCACTTTGATGCTACGGGGATCTTGGGGTGCAGGAAGAAGTCGCTGTACCTACTTGGGGGTCGAGCAAAGCTCGCCAGGCACATCGCATGACTCCAGTGGATAAGGCAGAAAAAAGCCAAACCCAAACCCCCGTTCTGCGAAGCATCATTGTCTTCTTGTTCATCATCAGCCTCATCCTCCCCTTGACCTTAGCCTTTGGTCGTTGCAACCATGTCGGCGAAGATCTCTATGTGGGTTGAAACAGTAACATCAGTCCGACAATACAGCTGCTGCCAAGGAGACGGTCAAGCTTCTCTGCGCCGTACTCAGTTGGCCTCTATGTCGACATGCGTTTGGGGCTTCTCTGGAATTTCTGTTTCATGGTCATGCTTTGCCGAATTGGGCAACCAGCTCGCACATAGGTATGAGTCCACCGATCGAGAAGATGGACTCCTCGCTCAACCAGCTGGTCAATGTGAAGCTGCTGCCTCGGGTTGCACCTGACCAAACGTTCCAGACACGCCCTCGGGTGTTTGCTGTAGAGAACGGAGGGAGGGTCTGGGTCGCTGATGGGGCTTGGAGCTCTCAGGCGAAGGGTCACAGCACACATTGCTCCTCATGCGCCCTGTTTCTCGCTTGGGTTTAGAAAAACCGGGCATGCTTCGCCACAGTCGTGCAACATGTTGGGAGGCCGTGTTTGTTGTAAAAAGCTTGTCAACGACCAGGCACCCTACATACGACTTCTGTGCATATAGGCGAAAGCGATGCTGACCCAGCCAGCAGGATGCAGTGCGACATTGAAATCAAAGGAAGTCACGTGTTCCAAAGGCCGTGCAACTGTTCAGGAACTTGGAGTGGTAGGGGTTTGCAAGGGTTCTTGAAGGTAGAGCGTCGTTGTTGGTATCGCTGCCTTCAGCCTGCTTGGTGAGGCATCTAGCGCTGTCCACGAATTGCATTGACAAGATGATCTCCCTGCCAGCCTTGAAGAACATCGAGGTGCATGCCTTTCATGTTTCTGAAGATGTCGAGGGGGTTCAGAACGGCCACTCTAGGTTGCAGTTTCGGTATCGATAGGAATACGAGCTGCCAGAATGGAGGGCATTCCCCTGCTGTCTGTCACACGCAGAGCTTGACAGAGTCGCCACAGGTGCTGTCTCTGGGCCGGAACTTGATCAAGAAGATCTCGGGACCCTGCTGTTGCAGAGACAAGCCGACAGACTCGCCGCAGCACCTCGGGGTGCGCATAGCATTGCAGGTAGCACTAGCAGTAGCAGAGACAAAGGAAATCAGCACCTGCTCCAGCAGTCATTGCCGCGATCCCTGTTGTCGTCACAGTCAGCCAACCGAACACTAGTCACTAGTCGTCATCGTCGCCGTCGTCGTCGTGCCGTTGTCCTGGCCGTCGTAGTCATTCTCGTCTTCCAGCAGCAGGAGCACCAGGAGCAAAAGCAGCTGCAGCAGCAGCAGCAGCAGCAGCAGCAGCAGCAGCAGCAGCAGCAGCATCAGCCGTCCGAGCGGTAGCAGTGCAGCCGGAGCGGGAGCAGTCGCAGTACGAGTGGCACAAGAAACAACTGTATCCTAAAGCCACCGGCACCACTACTTCGTCTTACAGTAACATACAATGGACCCTTTGAGTTGGAACTGTTCGAGAGGCTGGGCTCGCTTTATTTGAGGGCAGCGTTGCTGAAATGGAGACCTCAGAAACCAAACAAAGCAAATGCTCATCCTGCGCGATTCACCTCGGGCATTCGTACAGGGGCTGGTTAAGACTTTGGGTGTTCGCCCAACATCCGAATGATCCAAACCACGACGGAAAGGATTTCTGGAGTGCTATATTTAATCCAACGCAGTCTGGCAAATAAGCAGGTTCGTCAAAGCCTCGAGCATCGGAGGCATCATCAGATCCCTGACGAGCCCTGCTTGTTCTTGTCCCAAACAAGAAACCGAAAGCGCCGAAAACCAAAATGCAGAGGGATTGCTTCAACTGGGCAGGACTCGAGGAGATTGGCTCCACTCTCAAGTGCGACCCTGAAGTTGCCTTAGGTTTAGATTTGGGTTTGCGACACTTCGAAAACTGAAGACACCCCCAACAAGTGCAGCAAGTTCTCAGTATCTGAGACAAGGGTCACCCTGCATAGATTTGTAGATGTTGCATGGTCTCCTTGGAGGCAGCAGGCAAGCCACAACAAGTAATAATCTGACTGGAAATCAAGAATGGCACGGGGCGGACAGACTTTTAGACATCACTGCCCCACACCTTCAACTTGATATGATTATTCGAATAAGCTTTTACCACTGAGGTACCGAGAACGCTGTAAAGTCTAGATACTCTAGAAGACAATTGGATGGTAGTCTGTGGCGGCTGTGTTCGCGATGTTCCTGGACTCTTGGTGTTTTGATTGGATCTCGGCCGAGGGAGCTCTGGATCTCATACAACCAGATCTCTGCCTTGGATGGCCTTGCGCCATGTGTGCCTGGGCACCGAAAATTATGGCATCCACGTTTAGCATAGTTCTGCTCGCCTTCGGAATGGAGGCTTGCAAGGACCCTGCCAGCAAGGCCTGTCTTTGATTTGTCCTCTAGTGCAAGCTTTCCTTGGTACGCGGAGGAAGCATGCAGCAGTCTGGCACAAGCATGAGGTAGGTGTAACACGCAAGTCCACGAGTCTGTAGGTGTTCGAACACAGATGCAGTGTTACGCCTCTTTACAAATTGCTTACCTGCTCTGTTCATTATTCTTTAAGTAGTGGGCACACTCTTGGGATCCAGACTCTCCAGCCTTAGCCTCGCGCACCCCGTCAGATTTTTGCTTTTAGAAGCTCGCCACAGGTCAAGCTTACGACCCTCTTCATCTCGAACAACAAGATCAAGGCAGATGACCAAACTGGCCTCTCGACTTGCGGCCAGGGCCCATTGTTGACCAGGTTTGAGATACGATACAATCTCTGCTGAATTGCTCGAATGAAGTCGTCGATGCATCGGAGGATAGGAGGAGCGGCGGCAGGAGTAGGAGTGTCGGTCTGACTAGCAATCCTCGTAGCAGCAGCAGCAGCAGCAGCAGCAGCAGCAGCAGCAGCAGCAGCAGCAAGTGAAAGCCGCAGCACTCCCGGTAGTAGTGGCACTAGTAGCAGTAGTAGCAGTAGCCGTAGAAGCAACACCAACAACAGCAGTGCAGCGGGAGAAGTGGTAGTAGCGGTTGTAGTGGTGGTAGTAGTAGTCGTCGTCGTAGTTGTCGCTGATCGTCGTAGTAGTAGTAGTAGTAGTAGTAGTAGTAGTAGTAGTAGTCGTACGAGTCGCTAGTAGTAGTAGTAGTAGTAGTAGTAGTAGTAGTAGTAGTTGTCGTAGCAGTCGTCGTCGTGGTGGTAGTGCTAGTCGCAGCAGCAGCAACAGTAGTAGTAGAAGCAGCATCAGCAGGAGTAGTAGTAGTAGTAGTCGTCGCCGTCGTCGTCGTCGTCGTCGTCGTCAGCATCGTCGTCATAGGAGTAGTAGTAGTAGTAGTAGTAGTAGCAGCAGCAGCAGCAGCAGCAGTATTGGTAGAGGTAGAGGTAGAGGTAGTGGTACTGGCAGTGGCAGTGATTGGAGTAGGAGTTGGACTAGGGCTTGGACAGTAGTAATCGTAAGTAGAAGAAGTTAGCAGGAGGAGGAGGAGCAGTAATTAATGACAGCGGCAGCCGCCAGAATACGTTAGATGTGCCACACAGCACTGATATTGACTGCAACTCGTGTTTTCGACGGGGTTACCCTCCTTCTCTCACTAGACCAGACCAGCCCTGTCCCTGCGCGGCATGCTCGAAGCCTTTACATCAAGACCCTTCTTCCTTCTTAAATCTAGACGTCAAGACCGCCATACCTTAAAGCCCTGACGTTTGAAGTCCTCAAGCTTTACGCCACCCGAGCTGAGAGCAGGATTGGCCGGAGCTAGACAAGCTCCAGGCGAACCAGGAGCTGAATCGGTTTCTGCAGCTCATGGCGGCCTGTTGTCTAGAGTCGACATAGGTTTGGGAATACAAGAGGTCAAAAAGTTATAACGGACACAGCCGACTACGGGTTTTCGGGAATGTGCTTCGCAGAAAGCAAAGCTGCTGTGGAGTTGAAACGGATTTCTATTGGGAGCTGAACTGTGTGGGTGCAGATCCATCCAGCCATGAAGGACCTGACAAACGTCCTTTTCTATGGGAACCCCATCTACGAAGGCACACCATGGGTGTGGATGTTGCTTGATGCACAGCCCAGACTCATAGATCTGACGAAGAGTGAGCACCATCGTTTTGCAATATCCGTGAATCAGTCAGGTCGGCAGCGGTTGCAAAGTCTCTATCTGTCTTGCGTGGAACTTGCTCGTGCAGAGACAGCTTGAGCCAACGACTCTCAGATTGTCGTGGGGTCGCTGTGGGGAAGCTGCAACCTTGCTTCGGAAAGATCACTGCAACCGGCATTTGTTCCTGATGTGAGCGGTCAAGTATCAAGAGCCACAAAACAGATTGTTGCTGGAGCACATGCGTATTTCGCCTCGGTTTGTTCTTGCTCTTTTTGTGTTACTGTTTGTGATTACCGCCGGGCCTATGTCGTTGAATCTGAGAAGTCTGCCTGCACACAGAAATCATGGAAGTCACGCACATGAATGTCCAGCCGCTCTGATGCTCCCGTGGCTGTCTCTTGCCTTTTTAAAGGGATCTCAAGGCATTCTTGAAATTCGACTTGCCCAAGACCAGGGTTTTGGGTAAGGGCCCGGTGTTCTTGCAGTGATGCCTGTGACCTCCAAAGCGGAGGTCTTACCAAGAAGCAGGCGAGACCCAAGGCGCTCCGGGTCCGTGGGAAAAACCAGTTAAGATTTATCTGCCAAGCTTTGCTCGATTGCTTCGAGTGTGGCATTATTAATTGACATTGAGCCGGGTTGAAGTCGTGCTTGAGCCTAGTCAGTTGGTGGCGGGAACGAGAGCGTGTGTGCCATGTTGGAGCACTGAGAGCCTGGTTAAATCTTTGCTCAGTTCCTGAAGAGTAATATAGGTGTAAGCGCACACACACACCACACTTATGGAGCTTGTATGCCGCCGTGTATGTGCTACAGCTGAATGCCCACACCAGCAGCAGCAACTGAGCTTGTAGAGGGAATGACGGTGATACTTTGCTCGTCCAGCAAATCCAGCACATTTCGGATTAGTTACCACTCTGGGTTGGTCCTGTTGCCAACATCCTCGTTTTCGGACTTCATTGTCTGATCATATCTGGGAAGTATACTGTTTCCATGCTGATGTTAATGGTTCGTCGTTCTGAAAACCCAGCAACACCACCTCGACGGGCAGCAGCACCAGCTTCATCAGTGGCGACAACACCAGCAGCTGTGCCGCAGCAGCAGCACCACCACCACTACCGCCCCCACCACTCAGAGCCAGCACAGCCACCACCACTGACATCATCCCCACCATGATGGGCATGGTGACTTTCGTGGTCACCCTCATGATAGTAGCTTAATAGCAGTTACCGTCATCTGCATTCTTCTTGGCATTGTCTTGGTTTCGTCCGCTGTATCCCTTGTCGTTGAAGTCTTCGCAGCAACATCACGTCTACCAGCATCAACAACAGCATCTCCCAACTTGCGTTATCATCAACATCATCTTCAACCTGGTGGTCTTTATCTTCCTCCTTCTTTCTTGGAATCTCATGAGAAGTCTCGTCATCAGCACCACTATTCTGGTGCTCCTCCTATCACATCCGTCTTTTGCGCGGCAAAACTAATGCGATGATCGTCGTGTTGCCTTTACCGCGGGACTAGAGTACTCAGTATAAGCACGTGATGGGCCAGCGACTCAATTCTCATTGAGTGCTGTGACAGTATTCAGTATAAGCACGTGATGGGCCATCGTTTCCAATTCTATAATTGAGTGCTGTGACAAGAACGGCAAACAGGTTCTGGAGCACCTGCCCAAGATCGCGACCTTGGATGGTGAGCTGCTCACGGGCGACGATGACGAGGACAGACTGAGGGGGAGCAAGGCTTGAGATTTTGCCGGATCCCTGCCAGCGCTCTCAATCTGTTAACCGGACGGGGGTGTTGGAGGGTCTTGGAATTTCAGGGCTTACAGTGCCATTGGGGAGGATTTAGGGAGGGCGGGGTTTAGGGCTTCAGGGGAGGGTCGCAGAGTTCAAGATGCAGGTTGATGCATGGTTCAATTCCCCAATCGACGAGCCGAATTACATGTACAGCATCGTCGTCTGTGACGCCCAGAACGTTTTGTTTCACGTCTCGGCCAAACTCAGCACGTGGTCGGTTCTGGAGTGCCTAGGTCCTAGGTTTCATGTGTCTTCGTGGCTGCGGACACGGATCCCTCAACTAATCTGGAACTATGGCAGCAGTTCGGCCAAGAAGCCAACGTTCTGAATCACGGAATCCGCAAGCCGTGGAAGCAAGAGTCCTTTCACCCACAAGCCCGGAGCAACATGGTTCCGGAAGACGATGCATATTGTCCCCTAGCGGTTCGAACTGACCTGGAAGGGCACCACGCCAGCATTTGCATGACATGCAGTTTCTCCCGCTGCAGAATCGCGAACGAGCGCAACGAGCCAGGAAGACACATAACCGCCCAAAATATGTACGAAAGAGCGTTCTGTTCTTGACCCGGGCACAGAAATCAGACGTATCTTGGGGTCCCTGGCTTCCAAACCGAACACCGGAAATGTCGGCTACTCAGTCGCAAGACACCAAGCTCGAAGAAGTAGACATGCCCAGGGCGAGGAAGCTGCAGAGTGATGGAATCGTCCATCGTGGGCTGAGCAGGCAGGAGGACGATCGATTCTGAAAGAGAGTCTATACTGCGGTGCTGGTGGGGTTGTTATTTTCCATAGTCGTTGATGGCGGAGCTGCCGCTGCCTATCTTATCGTTGCGGAAAGAAGTGGCTTCCAAGCGGATAATGATGAAGGTACACCTGGCATCTTTGTTGGACCGCTAGACCACACACGAACACCCATGCTGATCTACAATTTCACACCGCTGCCTCCGCAATTCGTGTTCACGCGCAGAATCAGAGAAGACCCACGCCCACCCACCCACGCCCAC